ATTCTGCTAGCAGTTGTCAGAAGCAAATGCTTCATGAAGGGCAGATCAGCTAGCTGTGGGGAGATTTTTGGCTTCTCACTGCAAGCAGATCGTCAGAGTTGTTAAACTTACCTAGAGGGTGTGTGAGAATGTGTGTCTGAGACATCATCAGAGGTGCCCTGAGTACAGTTCAAGGGCCCGATTTTATGGCCCAAACCAAGTAGGTGTTCCATACTGTTTATTGACACAGAAGAGACAGGGAGGGGAAGAAAGAGAGAACAAAGACCAACTGGTGAAATCAAGTAATAAAAACAGAGCAGAAAACTAAAATAAATTGTTCTTTCAGCAACCAAGATATTTTTTTGTTTAGAGGACTAATTCCTCCTACTTATCCCCCCCGCCCCCCCGCCACACACTCACACACACACAAAAGTGCAAGAAATAAAATTAGATTAGGTGACCAATTTACTAAATAGCAGGGACAAGGGAATTTGGGTGAGGAATTCATAGTCTTATGTCTGAGGAAAGTACAGAGAAGATGTTGGAGGTGAGACTCCATAAACTTCCTACAGAAGTACACTTTTGTCCCATGCCAGGGAAACCCACTACAGTTTTCAGCTTCACAGTTTCACTTGGAACTGAGAAATGCTCCATCAAGTCAAGGGCACATTATAATAAAATGTTCTGTTTGTTTATTTTGGCAAGCATAAGATGATTTTACTAAGCGATACTCTGATAGGGCCCTGGGCCAACGCCGTTGGAGCTGGAAAAGCAAGTCTTCCCAGTACAAAGCTTCTCCATCTTCCTGCTATCAGCACTGCATTCAGGGGGCCCTGAGTATCTACAGAAGAATAAACTTTGTCAGCAGCATTGGCAAATCGCTGACATGGAGCTGGGCTGCCCAGAATGCCACTCTGACATTGGGGGGATGAGAAGGGAAGCCGAAGGACGCTGTAGCAGAGAAGGGCTGGATGGAGAGGTGATCCCATCAGCTTCTGCCCTGTACAGCACTCCCTGCTCTATCTTTGGCAGGGCAGGTATCAGAGGCAGGTTTTCCCTCTAAACAGAATGGGTGTGGCCCTTCGGCTTGCTAGTCTCAGTCCTCCCCATGCCACTGCACCCCCTAGGAGTACCCTCAGGGGCGCTGCGGATCCAAGATGGCAAACCCAAGTGGGATGGAAACCCTGAACCTTCCCTTCACAGTACCGTACTCCAGTCTAGCAGATTTACCAGGTGCATCCCCTAACTTCCTAGAGGGAGCCCTAGGAGTTCTCAGCTTCATGCCTCAGTGATTTTAGGGGATGGGATCAGGCTACTGAGTTGGTTAATCTCCAGTTTCCTCATGAAATTTAGGTCTTTGGGTCCTTTTTTCTAGCCTTAACAACTAAACAGGTGGAAAGAGGCAACTGGCGTGAGTGACAGAAGTTGAGTTAATGAGCGGTGGCCCCTATGCAAACCTAATGAGAGTGATATTTGGTTGAATCATTTGATCATTCACCTAAACGAGGAGTCACTCCCAGAGCACAGCAATGCAGAAACACTCCCTTGGGGAAGCCCAGCATATGGGCAGGCTATAAGAGCAGACAAAAAAGGATGAGTTAATCTTATGCTTGATTAATGTTCAAAGACAGAAAAAGATCATAGTTTCCAACATTCCCAGTGAGTCTGTGAGTTCCCTTTCCCATTGCCAATCTACATGGATTGGGCCAGCCTCACGCTCCCATATATGATTTTGGATTCCTCATCATGCTTGATATACTGAGGAAACAAATTCACCTTAGATTAGAAATAAATGTTGGGGTCAGGATAAAGCGGTGCCCAAGGACCTATACTTCCCACCCCTGAAATGGATTAATGTTGTATCTCCCTGAAATTTGTGTCAAAATCCTAATCTGTGGTATAATAAAGACTTTGGGAGGTGATTAAGTCACGTGGACCAGGGCCTCCTAAATGGGATTAGTGTCTTTAAAAAAAGGACCCCTGGAGTTCTCTCATCTCTTTCTGCCATGTGAGGACACAAGAAGAAGTCAACTATCTGCAACTCAGAAGAGTACCCTCTCTAACGCCCTGATTTCAGATGTTCAGCCTCCAGAATTGTGAGAAATAAATTTTGGTTGTTTATATATAAAGTCACCCAGTTTACAGTGCTTTATTATAGAAGACTGAACTCACTGAGGCACCCCCAAGACTACTTCCCTCCAAGGTCTTGATTGGCCTTTAACTCACCAGCTGTAAACACATTACCACGTCTTACTCATGGCTTTGGGCCACTGCCCAGTCCTCAGGCAGGAGCTGCAGGCTTCCCTGCTACACAGTAATACTCATGTGAGAGCCTAGAAGACGGAGGAAAAGGATTTCAGCAGGAACCATATGCCTGAGGAGGCAGAGTCCCCACAGCTAGGGGTTGCTTCTGCTAGAGACTGGTTTCGTGTTCTGCTCTGGTTATGGAGGCCCTAGCCTGCTCCCTGCCCTACATTCATTTGCCTTCTAGTTCCCTGGTGAATGCTGATGCTTTCTCCCAAGCAAGATTCCACCGCCATTGGGCAAAAGAGGCCAGGGCAAAACCAGTTTCGTATTTCAGAATAATTTTGAAAGAGCTTCCAACTAGGCCGGCCATGGGCAACTTCCTTAAAGGAACAACAGGATTTCTCCCAACTGCCATTACAATAGCCTCTTTTGGGGGCCAAATCTATAGAGAACAATTTGGACACTTCTACTCTAAGGAGTGACTTAATCACCTCCCAAAGTCTTTATCATACCACGGATTAGGATTTTGACACAAATTTCAGGGAGATACAAACTGTTGACTTCTATAACTATAGCACACAAAACTATCATGTCTTCTTTGGAAAGCTTGGAGCCCTTCTCTTAGGACTGTGACAGTTTGCCATGCCCTGGGCATGCTCTCATGCTGGGGAGGAGGCCGAAGAGAAAGCTCTGCCTCTCACACTGCCACCTCCACATGCTGCCTTTCTCAGGCAGGATAAACTTCAGGAGGACCAGGGGAGAAGGGACGGGTGACCTCAAAGAAGTGAGCAGCTGGAACAAGTCATTCAAAGATGTGCTGCCATGCATTTACCCAGCATTTACTGAATACCTAACACGTGCTAGGTTTTACTCTGGGTTCTTGTGATATGGAGGTGAATAATGCTGCTGTACAAAGCCTGGGGTGGTGAAAGTTTAGGGCCAGACCCTCAGCTGGGGAATATTCTCTGCTCAGAGCAGATGCAGCCCACTTAGTCCCCACTGAGTGACAAGGGGAGGGGCTGCTCCCCTTGATGGCTTCTCCTGGTGGGGAGAAGAGTTGAGGCATAAGAAGTGAAGGTGCAGGGAGGTTCTTCTCAAAGCAGCCAGGTTTGATAGAATTCCTTCAGGAGTCCCAATTGGCCTCAAAGACCCCAAGATGTGTTTGCTTTTAGAGAAGTCACCTTCCTCTATGAGTGTCCAGATTCTGAGCAGGCAGATGACACAACCAGGAGAATCTTAAAGATAAAAACGGGACTATTTTTCATTACCTTTGCTTTTTCTCCTATTTCCCCCATTTCACTCCCTTTCCTTTCATCACCTCCCTGCCTAGAAAACCAAGTGGTTCCTCACTGGCTGCAGGACTGAGCCTACACTTCTCTGCTTGGGTTTTCCAAGAGTGTGGTTCACTGAAGTCCTGTTGAATATGGTATCAGAATGAATCATTCTCTTGGTCTGTATTTTTTAGAGCCTATAATTTATGTTAATGTACTGTTTTTCCTAGAAACTTGAGATTAGTATTTTCCTTCAAATTTAGTTTTCACCTTTTAAATTGGAGCCTGTTAAACACTAAAGTCCTCTCCCACCCTCTCTACCCCTAGCCAAACCCAGTGGGTACATGTGAGCAAGCATTCCCTGCATCCCAACCTCCATCCCCTGGGACCACCTGAAACCAAAATCCTTTGCATTTTTCAGCAAGGGATAGGATTTCCCTATCCCATAAGTGAGTACTAAAAATCCTTCATTCTTCAATATGCAGGTTAATCATTAACAATGGGCTGTACCTTTCACCAGGTCATAAAGGATGACTGGTTAGAGCGGCAACATTTTCATTGTCATTATACGAAATGCTGGAGAGAATGTTACCTCAGCCCACTTGCCTCCAAGATTCCTAACCAAGATATGGCAGGCTATAGTCAACCATGTAGGTGAGGTGGCAGACAGCAGGAGGACCACAGGTGAGAGAAGTGGGCCACCTTTCCCTTTTCTCTGTCCATTCTGATTCTCTTCTTTTATCTTTTTAATCTGGATACCAACGGATATTTTAATAGCCATTAATTTACCAATGGTAGGCAAATGAGTCTATGGGCTGTTCGGTTTAAACAAGGAATGGGCAGGGGAACAACATGTTAATTTATAAGGCCAATGTGTAGGCTCCTTTAAGACACAGGGAGTTCCAAGGAGAAAGCAAGGGTCAGGCATAGAACCAAAGATCATTGTAATGACGCATTGGTCACATGGCAGACCAGTCCTTCTGGGGAATAAAAGATGCTGGGAGACCATGAGGCCTCATTGGTATGGAGCGAAGAACATCTCCAAATCTTACTAGGAGAGGCTCCAAAGAGCTGCTGGAATCTATGCCAGAGTGAGGTGTGGGTGATTTGGCCTAAATTTTCAAAACAGTTTTGCAGTGGTCTTGAATTTACAGAACAATTAGGCAAGAAGTACAGAAAGCTCACAAAAACCCCACTCTCCCTCCCCTAGTTTCCTTTATTATTAACATGATGGATTCATGCAGTATACTTACGATAATGAACCAATGCTGACATTATTATTAACTTAAGTCTGTGTTTACTTTGGGGTTTAGTCTTTATGTTGTATGGTTCTATGGGTTTTAAAAATGCCTGATGACACATATCCATCATTACAGTCTCACCCTGAATAATTTCATTGTCCTAAAAATCCCATATTTCACCTGTTCCTTCTTGCTTTCCTTCCTCCAAATCCCTAATATCCATGGTCGTTTTACTGTGTATGGTTTTGCCTTTTTATGGAACACCATATAATTGGAATCATACTGAATGTAGCTTTTGCAGATTGACTTCTTTCATTTGGCAATACGCTTTTAAGTTTTCCTCCACATCTTTTTTGTGGCTTGATAGCTTATCCTTTTTAATACTAAGTAATATTTCATTGTATGGATGTACCCTAGTCTGTTTACCCTTTGGGATAGACTTTTCATTTGATTAAGGAGTGTGGCTTGAGAAATGGAAAAACAAAGATGCCTAAACTAGCAGAAGGCAGGGTTCTTGTGGTCAATGCTCAGGGACAGAGTCCAGCCCTTCACCAACTCTTCCAGCCCTTCACCGACTCTTCCAGCCCATCATATCACAGGTAAGCGTCCAGTAATTTTTGGGCCAATTAATCCTCCAAAACCTTCTCTAAAGAGCCAGTTCTTCTAGACACCAGAAGACCCCTATGCCATCTTGGAAGGGGTAGAGCTGCTTGGTTGGCCCTTCCATGCCATAGAAGCTTCCCTGGGGAATACTCTGTTGCTACCCTCTGGTCCTACAGGTAAGATGCTCTGTGGACAGAACCAAAACACTCATCTCTCAATCTAATCACAAGGGAGTAGAATTAATCCAAACAACTCTATGGAACAGAGAGAGCCAGTAGTATTGTTGGGTGCTAAGTGGAAGCTGTGAGGGGATGATAAGCCAACTGTACCTTCTGGATGTTCACATTTGGAAGGAGAGAATATCTGCACAACAACAGCAGTAACCCACATGCAGTGATGTGCGATCCCAGCCTGAGGGTGCAGCTAAGGATCTGGGTGGAAGGGAAGAGCTCTTCAGGGAAATCAATAAGTCACCTAGAAATTGCAGGGCCAATTGAAATAGAATTTATGGGCTGGGGATATAGCTCAGTTAGGAGAGTGCTTGCCTTGCATGCACAATGCCCTGGGTTCACTCCCCAGCACCACCAAAAAAAAAAAAAAAAGAAAAAAGAAAGAATGAAAAGAAAAGAAATAAAATTTACTATGTCAGTGACGCTCCTGCCCCCATGCAAAAGAACTTATCACCCAGACCTGAGTCTTTGTTTAAGGTCACTGCTCAAAATCAGGTTCTCTCCCAGGGCGTGGTGCTGGTCCCTTGATAATCAGATCCCTTTCTCTCCATGTGACAAAAGGGTGAGTCCAATACAATGATAGAACAATTTGCTTTATATCTGTTCACATCTTACAAATGTTTGTGCTCACATGACTTACATAGTCAATGCAAGGGTAGAAAGCACTTGAGAATTTCTTACCTAAGAGAAAGAAGTTGGGGGCTACTTTGCCCCAAAGCCTATTTTATAAGATGGGTCTCATCCAGAGACACTTGTCTTATTCTTTGTCCCTATTTCTGTTTATATAACTAGAGGGGTTGAGGGCCACCACAGATGGTTAATTAGACACAAGGGACAGAGATGGGGGCCATGGGTTGGTCAAGGAGTAGCTGCCTCCTACCTGGAGGCCTCCTGAATAGAAATCTCTACAGAAGGAGGACACGCCTATGGGAAGGAGGATGCGTGGTGATGGTATGTGCTCCAAATGTGCTGGTCTAGAGTTTTTCAAATCACAGGACAGCAGAAATAGCCCAAATGGCTTCCATGGAACCAGATATGCAAGTAGAAGAGAATCAGAACCAGATTCAAGCATAGCATTAGCCTTGGGGACAACTGGTCCCTCCTAATCATCAGTATCTGGCCACTTCTTTGGTACCTGGCCATTCTCTGGGGCATTTCTCATACATATGGGTCACCCAGAGAAGAGAAAAAAAAAAAGAAAAGAGATCTTACTATTAAGTTCCTTGTATCTGGGCTGGAATATAGCTTGGTGGTATAGTCCTTACCTAGCACACAGGAAGTCTTGTGTTTGATCCCCAGCACTGTGTGACTTAGGTGGGGAGAGTCTTTGCGTCTAAAAAATGTCTACTAGAAAAATACAGTGTTTGTGTTTCACAGGAATCTGTTTTCAGGAAGCATCTGCTATTTGGGTGCTAATCAGGGGATGATTTTTATCTCCTTTTCTTGCTTATTTGTTTGCCTTTCTTCATGGGAGAGACTTGTCATGAAAGTTCACGGCAAAGCCCAACATTCAGTAATAGGAGAAAAAGAGAAGAAGGAGCTCTGGGATGTGTTACTCTGTCCTGGGTTGTGACTCATTCACTATGCAAATTCTCTTTCTCCTCCCCTTCACAATTTTTCCTCCCTGACTTTCAGAACCCTCTCTAGACTTAGCTCCTTTTATCTTATTCTATGCACTTTCTTTCCACTCCACCCTGTATTTCTCAGTCATAGACACTGCAGCACATTTAAATATCCACCCATAATGAAAGCAAAACCTGTGCATCGTGTGGGGGTCCTCAGGAAATCAGGAAGTTGGGGAGAAAGAGGGGAATAGCTGAGGATGGCTTTCTGAGACTGACACCACCTCTTTATAAGGAGCTCTGTATCTCTAGGGACATTAAAGGACAAGGATTCATAACAGAGCCCAAAGCTGTGCTCTTACTGTTTAAAATCTTAAACTGTAAGTCATGCAGCCATTCATACATTCTCACCATGTGCGTTGATTGAGCACCAATTACATAACAGAGTAGACCTACACAAAGATGATTGAAATGTAGTCCTTCTTCCCAAGAAGCTGGTAGGAGAGACAGGCCATGGGACCATAATAGTGATAACAAGTGTGATGAAGTCTATGATCCTGAGAGACTGTAGGGCCAGGACCTTCAGAGAGGTCCTGGAACCCAACTGTGCAGATCTGGGAAGAATTCCTCAGGACTAAACATGAAGGTGAAGTTGAGAAGAGGAAGCCTCTGGCTTGGGTGGTCCTGGCAAGAGTCCACTGCAAGAACAAAAACATAGTGTTGATTTGGAAAACTGGCTGGAACTTTAAAATTTGGCGTAGGAAGAAATGAGACATAGGGCAGAAAGGCTGAGCCAGCTTGGGATGGTCTTTGAGGCTGGATAAGAAGGCTGAGACTAAGGAAGATTATGGGACAACTAAAGTCAAGAGAAATATATAATCAGAATTGCACTTGCAGAAGGAAAATTCCAGTTGAGATATGGAGAATTGTTTGGAAGGGATGGGACAGAAGACATGGAGATGCTTGGGAAGATGTTACAATAAAATAGGCTGGAAATGATGCTCCTCAGAAGTCTCCTTCTCCATATCTGGCCACCTTCCTGATGGAGGCTTTCTTGAAACAACTCATTTGCTAATTGAGTCATTTCTGTGCCATCGGTGACTATAATGGTTTCGTTTTATAGCTACTACCATGTAAAATCACCATTGTGTAAATATTTCCTCCTGATAAAAGCTAGCTTCTCACAGTATTTGTCCATCAACAGGCTCAGAGACCCAACTGCCTCATATTTCCTCACAGCCTCTGTTAAGAAGAAGTTTGGTTGTAAGTAGATACAAAATTGTTAAGACACTTGTCCCAGCACAAGAAGTTAGAATGTGATAGGCCCACTAGGGAAAGATCATTGACCATGAAACAGATAAGATGGGGCTCATTCAGAGACACTTGTCTTATTCTTTGTCCCTATTTCTGTTTATATAACTAGAGGGGTGGAGGGCCACCACAGAAGGTTAATTAGACACAAGTGACAGAGATGGGGGCTATGGGTTATATATTTATTTTTTTTGTTTATTTATTTATTTCAGGATTCTGCTCAAATTAACCTGCATTTCAAAGGAAAAGCATTTGGTTGTTTGGGCCCAAGCAGAATTATTTTTAAATATTTAAGAGGGAAAGATGAGACAGCAAACTTCCCGATATGTTAGCTGTGTGATAGTGGGGAAGTAATTGCCCTGTGACTCAGTTTCCACAATTAAAATGGTATAATTACTTTGCCCATCTGTACTATCTGTGGCTACCATAACAAAGTGGTTTTGTCATAAGAAAACCACTATGAACTGAGTGGTTTAAACATAGAAATGCGTTATAGACGTGGAGGCTGCAAAGCTGAAATCCAGGGGTTGGTTCTCTCCTTGGAGCTGTGAGGAAGAATCTGTTCCATGTTTTTCTGGTGGTTGCTGACAATCTTTGGCCTGTTGAAGCATTACCCTTACCTCTACCTTCATTCTCACCTGTTGTTCTTGGTAGTGTGTATCCAAATACAAGTCATAATGGATTAGGATTCACTCTAATGACCTTATCTTGACAATACCTGCAATGACCTTGTTTCTAAATAACCTCTCATTCTGAGATGCTGGCTGTTAAGACTTCAAGTATGAATTTGGGGGCCAGGGGCAAGGAGGCACAATTTAATATAAACACCACCTAATAGACTTCTCAACAAGAATTAAATGAATTAACTCCTATAAATTCCTTAAAATAGTGCCTGGCACTTTAAAAAAATGTTGACTTTTTGTGTGTGGGTTATGATAGATTAGAATGAAAAGCAGCAGCATTGCAATTCAACTGGTGTGTACCAAGGTAGGTTTCAGAGTCATTTAAGACTCATTGGTTTTTGTTTGTTTGTTTGTTTGTTTTTGGATTGTTCAGAGCTTATGCAATACCAAAATAGTATTTTGAATAATCTCTTTGCTAAAAGGTGCAGAGTAAGAATGGGCAGACACATTGAGATCTGAGTTTTCTTCCCTGTTCTCCAAGCTTGTGTACTATACAATGCAACTAGCCCAGGAGTAGTTGGAGTACTGTTATTTGTTTTAGAGGGGAAACCAATACAGGCTCTGTCTTTTTCATGCACCCATAAAAAAAATAGCTTCTCAGTTTCTGTGGCTCTCCCATGGGGGCTGGAACAGGGCTACCACACGGAGCTGGAGACACAGCTTTACTAGAGTGCTTTTTCGATGGGCTGACCCCAGGCAACCTGGAGGAGCCACTGACATGTGTCAGTGTTTGCTTACCTCAGATCACCTTAGAGTCAGCTCTTGTAAAAATAAACCAGCAATGTTGACTTTTTGTGTGTGGATGATTAAACAAATCAGGTGACCCCAAATGAATTCTAGATAGAGAGGACTAATTGGAAATTTCAGCAAACTGATGAAATTGGCAAGAACTGAGCCTGAAGAGCATTCCAGGTACAGCAATCTCTTTTCAAGGAGCCCCTTACAGCCTTTGATGTTTCTGCCAAAGGGCTGCAGTGCAGGAGATGACAAAGACAACGCCTGCTTCTCAAAGGAGGTAGCTGACATAATGGCCAAAGTCAGACCAAGCTGCTCAGGAAAAATGATTGTGGATATAGTTTCAGGTAAGGAATATGCGAGAAAGGGTTACTGTCCACAAAGAGGTTTTGATGGGCCGACTTTACTGCCAACTGACTCCCATCAGAAGTGTGCACTCGCTGACCTCCAAGGCCAGAGCAGTGGAGCGTTCTCCCTCTTCCTTCTGCTGCTGGGATTCCTGTGTCTCCTTTCCCTGGTAAACATGGAGGCTTCTATGTACCTGTAGGAAAACCCTGGGTTGGGAGGCAGGATGTCTGCTACCTCACAGTTGAGGGACCTTGAACTAGTGACTTAAACTTCCTTGTCTGTTTCTTCTATTTCCTCTATTATTCAAGGGGCCTGGCACCATGAAAATCATGGACTTTCCTCCATGAAAGTAGTCTTGGGGATCTAGTTCAATCTACTTTATCAATAAGGAACCTAAGACCCATTCCATTAGTAATAATGACTGCTCAACTCATCTGAAGCAGACATTCTTATACCCATTTTATAGATAAGCAAACTGGCTTGTCCAAGGTCCCCCAGCTGCTGAAATGGAAGATTCAGGACTTCTCTAGTTCAGTACTCTTTCTTCTGCACATTATCTGCCTCCAGTTACTGTCAGATAATTCTGGCCTCATGCCATTATGAGTGTCCTGTTTTAGGCTGGTACTAACCATAGCAGGAGCAAGAATCTTATTCTTAAGGGAAGGAATGTTCCTCATAGGGGTAGGGACCGATGAACAACCCTTATTCCATGCAGCTGCAGAAAGTAACATTCTCCTTCCCAGTGTGAAGTTGGGAATGTGTCAAATGTATCAAAGAGATTTTGAAGCAAGAATATTGTATACATCTGATACTACAAATTAACTGTTTAATCAGGGCTGGAGCAGAATGAGGTTGTGAGGGGTGCCCTTGTGCAGGTTAGGAGGTAACTGCCTCAATATTCCTCAGTGAGGTGTTAGTACTGCTTCCCCCACCCTCTTCCTCTCCATATCATCCTTGACTTAAAAGAACAGGGCATCAGAACACCAATAGAACCAGCACCTCTCAAAGCCTTAGGGAAAAGTTGTTTCTTCTGAGTAAACTGAGGCCTCAATAAGGCATTGATGCCTCCTCTGGGCAAAGAAGAGACACCCTCCAATATCTCTCCATGGTGAGTTCTAGATGGTTTGGCAGCACTGGCCAGTATGAAAGCAAACTTCAAAGAACATTCAGTCCTTAGTATACTGGCAGAGAGCCATGATGTGAGACTACTGGTCCCTGTCACCAGCACCACCAAAGAGAAATGTGAGCCTCAAATCTAACTTTGAATTTTCTAGCCAAAAAACAGTAAAAAAGAAACAGGTGCAATTAATTTTAACGATATATTATATTCATTCCGATACAATCCAAATGTCATTTCAGTGTGTAATAATATAGTTATGGATGAGTTACTCCATGTTTCTTTTTTCACACTGTCTTTGAAATCCAGCATGTATTTCATACTGAAAGCACACCTCAGTGAGGATTGGCCTCATTTCAAATGCTCAGAGCCACATGTGACTCTGGGCTACTGTGAGGGATAGTGCAATGGAATAGATGAGCACACCAAGGCCACATGCATGTTTTAAACTTAGTGGCCTCTGAGGTTCCTTTCAACTTGGCAATTGAAGAGTATGGGAACACTAATGTGGTTGGAAGCTCATTCATCCTGCTCTAGGTCTTCTGAATAGAAACAGATGCAACAAAATATTCCTGACTCTCCTCTCCCCACAAACTTTCAGCAGGCTGGTCTTAAATAGTCCTGGCCAGACTTGAATAACTGTCTACCATCCAGCTGTGCTAGTGCAGTGGTCTAGATTGCCAAGAGACCAAGAAAGACACTCAGAGACAAGATATAAAACTTACTAATAAATGTTCATGGGAAAGAGACTAAGAAAGGTACCAGAGATAGGTTATAAGATATAAAACTTATTGATAAATGTTTATGGGACAGATAGAGTGGCAATGGTCAGACAGATGCTTCACCAGAGGCCCAGTAGTGACAGGATGGAGTGGTGTACCTCTATTTCACAACAGTGCCTCTGCTACCTCACCAGAAACAGCACCTCCTATCCCTCTTCGTACTTTGTCTGGGGGTAGAGGACAGGCTGCTTGGATGAGGAATTCCTTCCCATTGTGCTCTGGTCCACACAAGTCACCACAGGGAGAGAGGTTTCATAAATTAGGTTATAGCATTAGTGGCATCATCAACATTAGCTTGCTTTGGTCCTTGAATTACCAGAATTCCAGAGAACTGTGGGTCTGGAGCAGATATGTATCAGCTTTATACAGTTAACACTAACTTTCCCTAATTCCCAGCATTCATGAGAGAAAGTCAGTGTCTTTCAATATAATATATATCTGGACATCCTGGGCCAAACTTGTTTCCCTAACTTGGCTAGGTTTTGGGAAAGAAGAAGGGGAACTTCTGGGCATAGTATTCTATCGGCCTCCTTTACTTTAAGGATGACACAAGCCACCTCCAGCTCTTAGAAGTGGGTATATAAATTAGAACCTGCCTTCTCCTAGTGCCATGATCTGCCCCTACTCAGAGTTCCAGAGTTAATTATTAACAACGAACAAATTCACTGAGGGATGGAGGTAGGACTTGCCTTAAGGTTCCTGAGTTTCCTAGAAGCACGTGTCTTTGAGGACTTTGTCCCCCCTGGATCCAGGACAGAGTGACACACAAATACTGGGCCTGTAATTTTATTACAAAGGCAAAAGTCTGCAGGAAACCCATCCAGAAGAATTTTCTAGGAAAGTGAACTCTGCTATTGGACATCTCAACCAAACAGATGTTTTGGGAGAATACAATCACGCTGCCTTTGACAAAATTGGAGTAGGCTGACCTGACTTAAAGAGAATTTAATTCATTGTATAAAAATAACTCCAAAGGAGAGTGAAATCTTTGGAGTTATTTACTAGTACCTAGACCTCCAGGAAATTAACCCGCCCTGGCATTGGGAAAGGATGTGGGAATTATTCCTGTCCCTTCTCAGTATATGGATGAGGCATCTGAAATAAGGAAAAGGCCAAGTCTAGCAAGAAAGGCAAATGACCCTAAGAGAGTTGGCTTCCTTGCCAGGGAGAACTGAAAGGGAACAGATGCTTCTCAATGTCCAAGAGTCATTTCTCTAAAGTTCTATTAGTAGATCCTTAAGATTTTATTTATGCAAAACATAACTTTCCATTGTTGATATAATGCAGAGATAAACCTTGCTCTAATTCAGGTCAAAATATCATTTTAAACTAATGATACTTGCTAAGTATTTGCTATTTGTATGGCACTGTGATAAACTGAGGTAAATACTCCATTTTCTCAAGTGTAACAGTTAGATGAGGTGCCTCATGTTTTCTTGTATTATTTGGAAGATTAAGTAAAAAACTGTAAAGTGCTTAGGTTTCCATCAGTCCATGTCACCTACAGCCTCAAGGAGTTACTACTTTGGCCAAGTAGAATCATGACCTATGAGGAAGAGAAGGGGTTAACATACAGGGTTGTTCTGACAGGTGGACACAATAGGTGAGGGTCACAGTAGATACCATTGTACCACACCTAATTCAATCCTTATAGGCCACCAAGACTTCTTGTTTGCTTGTGTGTTTGGTTTTTTACCTTGAAAGTTTAAGGGTTCCTTAGTTGATGAAATTATTTCCTGAGGGATAAGTTTTTAATGAGCCAACTATTGCAAAAATTTATTTATCTCTTTACAGTCATTTAAGAAAAGCAAGGTCTTAGAGATAAGGGCACAAGAGAAAGACCAATCTTCTGATGCCTTAGAATTCAGACCATAAAGTAGAGAAGGACATTTTTCCATCTAGTCTTGTGCATTTTAGAGTGGGTTTTCTATATAAACTAAAATCAAGTATCTTGGAGTTGCTTTATCTCATTTGGGGAAAATACTGTGAAAACCTTTAGGCTCTGAGTGGGCGACTTGGCAAAAGAAAATGGTGAGGTCCTTCAAGGGCCATGTTCCTGGTATTCTCTCAGAATGATCATCCCATAACCCCAAGTCTTTGAAACTCCACTAATTCTTTCTAAACTGAAACCACCAAATGCCCACGCATATGTCTACAGCCCACTCAGGTGAGCTAACACAGGGCCAGAATTCCATCTAAGCTCTCTAACCCTTCACCTGAGTGAAATGAAGGGAAAACACAGAAAACCCTGGGATTCTCCATTTTTTTGTGTCCCAAAGATCCTTGGTTTTGATTAAATGAAATAAAGCGTAAGTGTACCCTTCTTGAGAAAGAGACCCAGGCCCTGGGATCAGGACATACTGGCCCCAGGAGTCATGCGTGGATCTATGTGCCAGATTGGAGGATCCAAGTCTCAAGACCAGGACCTATTAAGTGCCCTCTACCCACTTCTGTGATGTACTTTGAACAAGGGACATTGGCCACTCACAGTGTGTCCAGTGGAGGGCAATAAGGAAACAGACTCATGAGACCTGAGATGTTGAGAATGATTTGGGATATTGCTTCCCCAGACTAAAGCACTGGCTGTTTACCCTTTAAAAATTTTATATGGAGGAAAGAGAAGGAGGAGTCTTCTTTGCTTCAGATGTCAAAAGCAGAAGCAGTGAAAGGACATTAGAGGGAGGTCAGTTTTTCTAGCAATTAGAGCTGTCTTTAGGCAACAGGCCCCCTACAGTGTGGTACCTTTCTTGGCAACTGACATGGTCACAGGTGGCTGAGAAAAAGGTGCCCAGGGCTTGACAAGGATGGTTTTATGATATTTTTAAAGAGAGTGAACAATAAAGGTGAATTTGAGGTCTCTGTTCCATAAATTCTAATTTTACACATTAACCACTTCATGTACAGAAAACCTGAGAAATGGAAAAGCTATGAGTTTGCAATGCATTGTAAAAATTCTTTCAGAGAAGCTAACAAATGACAAAAGGTAGTCAGTGTCCATGGTGTGCCTGAGAGCACAGGCTGTGGAGGCTTAGCCCAGAGGGGTTCAAAGCCTGCCTCTGACCTTATTAGGCTCTGTGAACTCAGACAGGTTACCTAACTT